GTGTCTACTATCATTAGCCCGAGTGCTCCTTGGTCGGTTAGTACCGACCCACCCACCGAAGCGGAGGTCCGTAAGGAACTCCAAGTTCTGAAACGCCATAAGGCGCCCGGCCCAGACAAATTACCCCGGCTCTTTTTAAAGATGGTGGCGAGACTCTCACAATGGCTCTAACTGGGTTGTTCAGGAAGGTGTGGGAGACAGAGAGTGTACCATCAATGTGGAACGAAGCCATTATCGTCCCCATCTTTAAAAAGGGTCGACGTAATTCGTGTGACAATCATAGGGGTATCAGTCTGTTACCAGTCGCGTCTAAAATATTGGCTGCTGTCTTGCTTCGCAGACTGTGCAAAATACGTGAAGGATTGATTCGCGAAGAGCAGGCAGGTCGTGGATGCATTGATCATGTGTTCACCCTTCGTCAGTTGTTGGAACACCGCCACACGTATTGCAGGCCAACGATCGTTGTGTTTCTTGATATTAGGGCTGCCTTCGATTCGTTGGACAGAACTGTGCTCTGGAACTGTCTGTTAGAGAGAGGTGTACCTGAGAAATTTGTTAACATCTGAAAGCCCTATACAGAAACACCTCAGGTAGAGTGAGGGCATACAACCAACTATCACCACTGTTCCCAACCAACAGTGGGGTTAGACAGGGTTGCCCAATCTCTCCATTTCTCTTTAACTTTGCCATCGATGACATTCTGGAGTCAGCTCTGAAGGATGTGCGTGAAGGTGGTGTAGATCTGCTACCTGGAGATAGACTTTTCGACCTCGAGTATGCAGACGATATCGTCTTACTGTGCGATAGCATGCAGGCTGCCCAAATCGCACTTAATCAGTTGGCGATCAGTGTCTGTAAGTATGGTATGTGCTTTGCGCCGTCTAAGTGCAAAGTACTGTTACAAGATTGGCAGGAGCCTGTACCTGCACTCACTCTTGCGGGTGAACCGCTTGAAGTTGTTGATAAGTTTGTGTACCTGGGTAGTTGTGTGAGTGCTGGCGGAGGGGTGACGGATGAGATTTCCAACCGTATAATGAAGGCTAGGGTGGCATACATCAACTTGAGCCACCTCTGGCGCCGTCGCGACGTTAGCCTGGCTGTCAAAGGTCGGGTATACAATGCTTCGGTGCGGGCTGCCTGCTCTACGCCTGTGAAACCTGGCCTCTCCGAGCTGAGGATGTGCGGCGACTCTGCGTGTTCGATCACCGCTGTCTCCGCAGGATTGCTTGCGTTCGATGGCATCATCGCGTGAGTAATTCTGAGGTTCGGCGGCGTGTGTTTGAACACAATGGAGATCACCATTCATTGAATGTCGTCATCTGGAAACACCGGCTCCGGTGGCTTGGACATGTGCTCCGAATGTCACCCCAGAGGCTTCCGTACAGGTCTCTGTTCGCTAGCCCTGGGACGGGATGGAAAAGGCGGAGAGGTGGTCAGTCCATGACGTGGCGTCGTGGGATGAAGGATTTTTGTGCTAGATTAGCATCGGTTGGTGTCACGACTCCCTGGTTGGGGTCCGAGAGATAGCTCAAATCGATGGCTCGAAACGTTATCGGATATGGCCAAGAATCGTAATCAATGGCGAATGTGTTGCAATTTCCTTCTTTCTTCCCTTCCCGATGATAGTTAACGAACACTGTTTGAACTTGTTAAGCATGACTGTTTTCCTTCCAGATGAAGTTCTTTATCCGTTCTCTACTTATATATATATATTTTTCTCTTCTTTTTTTTTTTTGATCTATGTTGTTTTATTATTATTGTGTGGCGCATCCTTCTTGGTGCCATATTGTACCAAGTTTTTATGCGTTTAAATAAATGAAAGCTGTGGCTAGGCATGCATAAAAATTGTCCTAATCATCTCAATCGATGTAGCTTAATAACCTCATCGATTCACTTGCTCTCGTTACCTAACACTACACCTAACATCAATATATTTGATAATGATAATAGCTTTATTCTAAAACCGTGCTTGCGATAGAGAATGGAATTCTCAGCATTTTACTACGTTATTGGATCCAGTTAGTAAATTAGCAATAAAATAAAATTCATATCATACCATTGAGCACTGAGATAGAACGCAGATACCTTTGGTTAGAGATGACCAGTCTTTTTCAACGACTACCGCACAATCGTTAAGAAGGATAGAATAATCTGGTGCTCAGTACACACGTCCCTGCATGTCACTTCCATGCCAAAGGTGACATGACTTGGTGAAAACCACACGAGTCTTTTTTGTCTGCGCTGACATTTCATCAGCAGTCAGTCTATAAGGAATGAAACAATTTCCCTGACAAGTGGTGATCAACGTACTCAGCATTTCACCCCCTATCCTTTAACATGGAGTCGGTGCAGATTAGCTTTGTAGTACGATTTTACTTTTGACAAGGTGAATCGCATTCAAAACATTTTTAGATTTATGCTGAAAGAGTTTAGAAGATATCGTTTTGGTAACGTCTTCATCTAGAAGAAACATATGTGCATACTATAAAACGACGAGACTGTGCCTCTGTAACAAGTCACTCTATAAGTTGCTAAAGTCGACCAACTAATTAACTTTAAAGAACTACAAACGTCAGTAAGTGAAATCGTTAAAATAACAAGACTAGTCACGATACTGGTCAACATTAACAATTGTTCCCTGTTGTATGATGTGTGTTTATAGTTTGTGGGCTTGTTTCTGGTCACAGAACTGATACTCTGTGGATTAATTACTGTGAGTAATCAAATAACCAAAGGCTTCATCCACTAATGACGTGTTCCTATCTGATCACCTCTAAATATTTTCCGAACGAAATCTTCCAGCTGACATCGATGTCTTCTAAATTATTGTTAAAACTCTAAGTAATAAAAATGTTGTGAAGTAGAGCGAACCATTCATCTGCGTAAAGTAACTGTTTGAACATATTTACAGGATAATACGACCTCCATTTAAATCGTGGATTCTCTTCAACTGCATACATCCTAAATAAATCAATTACATGTTACAAAATACTGTCTGAACATACTTTTTACAATGATTTCAACTTTTAGATAGAGAGTATAAACAACATAATTTCAAAGTTGATGTGAGTAGACAGTCATTTAGTGTTAAAAGAAAAAAAACTATTTATATAGTGATTAGACAGACGGTTGGATGGAATTCAGATTTCTCTTGGAAAGAAGGATGCACTAGAGACAAAATACAACAGAGAACAACAGAGTTAATTTATACATATCATGGTGGAGAGTTCATCAGGTTGGAGGATGTTGTAGGTGGGGTGAAGAGTGAATTGAAATAATGAAATAGATAATATAATAATTTAGTAGATTTGGAACCTTAACAGTGAGTTCATTGAACTCAGTGAGAGAAAACCGAAATCAAGATTGGGTGGCATGTTATGGGCCGAAGTCATTGCCATCTAAAAACTTCGATAGTGTGACTAATCTCTCACTACCCTGGTAATCATAATTGTGTGTGCTTTTGTGTTTTGTTCTGTTACATAACATTCCACTCAATCTTGATTTTCACCCACTGATTTGAATGAAATCACAGTTAAAGTTCCAAATCTACTAAACTATTATATTGTTTAATATCATTATATTGTATCATTTATCGTTGAAAAAGCCTAGTTATCTCGAGCCAAAAGTATCTGCGTTCTATCTCAGTGCTAAATGGCATAATATGATAATATTAATGTTGGTTGTAGTGTTAGTTAACGAGAGCAAGTGAATTGATGAGGTTATTAAGCTACATCGATTGAGATGATTAGGACAATTTTTATGCATGCCTAGCCACAGCTTTCCTCAACGTGTAATTAAAGCAGACATGAAATTAGGTTGGAAGAGTTACGGGTGATCAAAGCACAACATGATATCAATCGCTGAAGTCTCTTCACACACTTATTCCCCTTTATGAATTTGAATAAACCAAGAACAACAGTTTGTGACATTGGTTTAAATAACGTAGGTAGGTGTAGACTACCTGATTTAGGTCCTCGAAATGTTAAGAATCAATGTCTGGAGACTGTTGGTGAAGTAACCCAAAGTCGTTCTCAATGGTACAGATGCATTCACTCTTTGTAATCTCCCAGATTCATTACACCTTTTGAGTGTTTCAAGTAATTATTCTTTCACCCCCACATGTTTTTGGTATAGTTTCTTCCCTACTTTTATGTGTGCAGCTTAAACTGTTGCATCTTCGTGCAGTTCTGTAGCGAAAATTTAGTTCACTTCAGTTCACATACTTCATCACTATTTGGACATTTATAATAATTTTTAACATACAGAGAAAGAGCCATGAGTGTTGTGATACACTTTTAGACTATTTGTTTACAAAATTTTACTTTTTTCAGTCAAAACATGTCTTGATCATATTTCACATATTTAATGAGAGCAGTATTAACTAGTACTGTTGCTATTGTTTATTTCTCATCTACAAAACTACATGATGTATCCAAGTTAATAGCAATTTTATTCGTAATTGGCATTCTTATTATAATTATTTAACTGAAATATACCTTGAGAATAGATTCTATCAGAATTCACTAGGGATTTGTGGAGACGTGGCTCACTGGCTTAGGCACTCGATTTGCAATCAGTGACTACTTGGTGCAAATCTCACTCTACCTAATTCAGGCTGGGTAACTGGATAGTGTCGACAGCCCTCACACATCAAGTATGTCTCATAGTCTGGAATATGCAAGTATTGTTCCGGAAAATGAGTTTGAACAACAAAGTGAGAATATGAACCGTATGAATATATATATATATATATATATATATATATATATATATATATATATATATAGAGAGAGAGAGAGAGAGAGAGAGATCAAAAAAAGAGATTCATGTGTTAAACTTGATTTAGTAATGGCTCCTGAATAATTTGCTTGACTAAGCACTACACGCTTAATTGATTCATCCTTCTGAAGTTATACAAAAGTGATATTTATGTGCAACACACTATTTGATAATTGCCGTAACAAAAAAGCATCAGTTATAACGGTATATACAACACTTACATAAGAAACAAAAAATACTAATGTAAACAGATGCAAAAAAAAATTTTGAATAGACGTCAGTTCATTCTTATGCAACAGTTTCTGAAGGTTTTCCATTATGTTAAACAAAGAAGATTCATCCACACCATGGAAATGCTTCGTCAGTTCTAACTGGCACTAATTAAAAAATAGAAAGATAATATTTTTTTAAATAATTGAACAGAAAACATGGAAACAATAAGTATATATTTGGACTTAAACTTATTCAAATAATTTAATACCACCTATATTGAATTGTCTGTCATATGAACACGCTAGAGTAAGAGTAGAATCTTGAAAGCATTAGTGATCACAGAAGATATATATATATATATATATATATATATGTATAATAGATATTTATTTGAATACATTAGTTTTTTTCTTTTTTTTAACAATTTCGCTTTATCCCAGAAACAGTACTTGTGGTACAGTGTGGAATTTTCAGCACATATCTACAATATTGCATCTAATTTCATCGTACATTTAAAAGGAGTATTATAAAAAAATAAAATATATAAAAAAACAACAAAAAACCAAAAAAAAAGAAACACAGAAATAACAAAAAAAATGCAAATAAAAATACCAAGTAAAAAGGAAGATAAACACAAATAATGAAAAAAATATTTCAGTATTGATTAGTGGAAGCTACGATATGTGTATGCGTGGTGAACAGTAACAGCTATAATCATACAGGAAATTATGAGATGTTCTTAAAAATGTTTATAGCCAAGATGATCAGTTAATTTGATTGAACAACACTAAGCAATCATAAGATAAACATTTCAGATTGTGTTTTTTTTTATTGTCAGCACTAATGCGGTTGTTTGTAGTGGTAGTGTGAGGAATCATGCATAATACAAAATTTTTTTAAAGATGGTGATAGTGGCAATAACAAACAAGATTGTCAGTTAAATAGTGCCGAACAAAGAACAACCACAAAACTAATGTTACATGATGGTTTTTCGTTTTATTACTATGTATAAGGAGTTAAACGTGTTTGGTTAACTACACAAAAGTGACACTAATAAGAAAATAATCTGTAAATGAATTTAACATTTAACCTGTATTAAAGAAATTAAAAATTTGAACAATTCACACTCAATCATTTTGTTTTTGTTTTTCTTAGAATATTCTATTTTGCTTGTTACTTTTTATGAATGTAACAAATTAATGTAGTCTTTAAGCAAAAATAATACGACAGTGGTGCAAAAAAAGCTCAATATCGATCGACAAAACGAAACATAAAATGAACCGATTGATCAAGAGAATGAAACATTATCTCTATGCATTGTGAAGTGGTAAATCACTATTGTGTAGCGGACTTGTTACTGAAACACGAACTTGATAAATTATGAGCCCTAAGGAATGTACCAGATAAAATCGTGTACTTTTTCAGAGGGCTGCTTAAATCATTGGGCTACCGAAATTACTTTCCTCCAAAATGCTTAATTTCATGTGGATTTATCATTGTTTTAATCGTCTAGTTATATCAAATGACCTATACATAAACTTGCGCGATGATTTAATTTGCTCCCAAGTAAAGGCTATACAATTCTTCAACGAAATGAAGATATACTTCAGATTATTACTTTACATGTGAATCCTGTGTGAAGAAAAAAGTACTTTGGAACTGAATACGCTGAAAATTTTTGTACCGTATATTCGCACATCGTCTTAAATAAAGCTTCACCATTATTATTATTATTACACTTACATAACAGGCAAACCGAAGCAGGCAGTTGTCTTAAGAAGCTAACCCCATTGAAGCCTGACCCACAAGGCAGTGGGGCAGTGTCGAGAGATACACTCTTATGGATGATACTGATCGAAATAGGTTCATACGACATTCAATCCTTTCGGATTCTGGAGCCCATCTACACCATATGTTTCGAATCAGTGACTTCTGCATCACCTAAGTAAACCTGCATGTCCACCAATCTGATTGTAAACTCCGAATGTTGTCATTCGTCCTTTCAATTTTATGAGTAGTCCCCCCCCCCACCTCACTACGTGAAGGCAGTGAATAGAGCTTACCTGGCAGTGGTTATGAACGTGTGTTTACATGAAAGCATTTCAAGAAGAAGACTGAAGTCATACCAGGTATGTTGTTTAAAGCAACATAAAGTACCAGACTATGTTAATTTAGGCAATGAAGTATTAGAAATTATCGTAGGGTACAGTCATTTGTTGTAAGTTTAGGTGAGAAATGTTGTTTTCCTCCACAGTGTAAAAACTAAGGATGGATACAATTTCACAGAAATTTTAGAACGACTTTTTCACTGAAGTCGTATGACATCAATCTGTATGTAGTATATAATAGAAAGTACAACAGTAAGTTACCATTCCAAATTATTTACAGCTGAAGAATCTGATACTCAGTGATAACATGGGGGCAAATCGTCTAAACATGTACCTTTAGTTCAGATTAGTAAATGAACATTTGGGAGCTTTCCATACCTAAAACAATGGCTTAGTAGATGAATGCGTCGTACTTAAACAACTGCTAGACAGCTGTACCAGCTAGATGAAATTAAAAGTGTTAAGTATAGAAACATGCTTTGAATGGTCAGATAGTTGATGGTGCCAAGTTCGACGAAGACGAACTATGACTGCATACTTCAAAAAATATAACTACGCAATACTCTCTCATACCCTGTTAAGCCAACAATAGGACTCTATGTTACTATTAGAAGCATCGACGATTTGAGCTGACGATAAACGGTTGGAGGTAATCGGCAAGAAGCCTTGGCTGGACCTAGATTTCCTGCTTGTTGCCGATCCCCCGCAAGGCATATCTGCAACCTCGAAGCATCTTGTGTCCCCTTAGACATTTGAACCCGCACCACCTAGTATTTCTGTCTGCGATGTTACGCCCGAGCTATTTGGGATCAAACTAACCAAGTAATCGTGTTTCGCAAAATCAGACGACTAACTTAAAATAGAACAAGTAAATGAACATCATACATTGTTCCCCTTCATCATTTTGAATAACACAAGGACAACAGCTGAAGAATAAGATGGTACCATCATTTATTTCGTTGGCTTTTCGTCAGCTGCATACAGTCTAAAGAAATTAATAAGTTTATGTACAGGGAAATTTTAACAAACTTGCAAATTCTACATGATGTCAATTGACAGGAGTTTCTAAACTTAATCAATAGTGCTCAAGAAATTACGTTTATACAATTTTCACCCAGAGTCCAATCCCGTGAGAACAAAGTTGAAGCATGCAGTCGACGAAACAAATTGTTATTGTTGATATGTAGACGACACATTTGTAGTGCGCAATAATGAAAGTTATGCTTCCTACCCTCTCGGATTATACAACGACGCACCTACAAATATTGAATTTACTATGGAATATTGCAATGATGGAAAGTTACATTTCTTTGATATTGTCACGCAAAGCCTGGAGGATGGTAGTCTCCAGAGGCCAATTTACCGGAAGCCCACATAGAATGAACAATTCCTACATTTTAATAGTTTTCGTCCAAACAGCTATAAACGACCATTAGTCAAAACTCTGTTTTATACAGTGAGGATTATATGCTCTACAGACAAATTAGGGAAAGAATTTATGATTCCCAAAAAGATCTTGAGAAACAGCTGTTACTCACAGAGATTCATTAACACATACGGAAGATGTGAAGACTCAAATGCCAAATAAATCAGTGGGAAAGACGCCTCTACTCGTCAAACTCGATTTTAAAGGTGGAAACAGTGCAAGAATAGTCAACAGAGGATTGGATACGTCACCAGCCAGAGCCTACGATGCAGCTAAGTTGGTTCCTGTCTATCGGACAACATGGTCTTTGGTGTAATCGAAAGTTGACAGTCACCCTTCTCATGTTAACTCTGACTGTGAATACAAACTTACATGTATCTGCGGGAGCAGTTACATTGGGAAAACAGAAAGAAGGGCACACCTCTGATTTTCTGAACATGAACGAAAAAGACTATATCTCAAGGGAACAAACGCCTTACAATAGTCCTTTAAAATTATCAATAGACAAAAAAGCTCAATTCTCCTCAAGTTTACCGAAGCAGTCTCTATCAAACACCTGAAACCCGATTTATGTGTTCGGAAAGAAGCATTTATCAATCTTTCCTTGCTCTGGTATCTGGATGTTTTCACTCTCTCTCTCTCATTTTACTACGCAATCTTCGGCTCTAACCTCACCCTCCTTTGGTATAATGTAATTTTGCTTGTATAAGAACTCTTTAAACTATTCATCTTATTGCTTAACTCTGACACGCTTACTCAACTTCTTTTATGCATGAACAAAGCACTGCTATCCTCTTACCAATTTTCACACATCTCTAGTTACTATTTGATTATTCATCACATTTTTGGAAACATTCTGATGACGAAAACAATAACTCTAATTTTCATTCTTGTCTGAGAAACCTAATGTATACACAAAAAATAGTCCAATGGTTTGAGTTGAACTCAATATATCGTCACCCAATTTATTAGTTACTCATCATCTTACTCACCTCTCGTCTTTATTACGTAACTCATTTACCATTGTGTGGATACATTGATTTTTGTTTAGACTTGGACTCTCTGGGTAAAAACTGTATAAACGTAATTTCTTGAGCACTATTGATTAAGTTTAGAAACTCCTGTCAATTGACATCATGTAGAATTTGCAAGTTTGTTAAAATTTCCCTGTACATAAACTTATTAATTTCTTTAGACTGTATGCAGCTGACGAAAAGCCAACGAAATAAATGATGGTGCCATCTTATTCTTCACAAACTGTTATCCTTGCTTTAGTCAAGCAAACAGTAGTCAAATGAGGTCATTTTAAGATAAATCAACAGATCGCCACTAAAAATAGGATCACTGAATTTGATATCATTAGTATCAACCAGCACAAGACCTACAATAGTAGATTAGACCAAAAAAAAGATTGGAAAGGTATACAAAAAACCTATATGGTCCACACAACAGTTTTGTAAATCATTGACTTTCAACTTTTCATAAGACCAACGCCACTGAGAAAATAATACCATGAAATAACTTTGGTGATATTGAAATGGCTTCATAAAAAGACACTCTTTTAGTGAGAAGATAACTAGCCTTAAACTCTTAAATTTGGAAGATTCCACTGTTTCTCTTATATTTATTGTATGAAGTGCTCTTAAAGATGTTAAGATGTTGGTAATGAAGATAAGAAAATTATTTCAGTTGAAGTTATATTTTTAAAAATGCATATCAAGAACCATGGCCAATCCAATTCTCGTTAGAATGAGAGGAATAATATATTTATAGACATCATCATTATGAAAGGGGACTATTTTAGAAATCCGAAGTAATAAATTCCCTTGGTTGATTGAGACAGACAGTGTAATGAGGAGATGGAGCCTACTAACAAAATGTATTGAAAAACTTTGGATAATAGATAAAAATTACTCGATTATACACATCAGTCTTTTATTCAGCTTCAGATCCGCCACGCTGGAGCTAGTGGGCTCATTCGTCGGTGGTTCAGTGGTAGGACGCTCGCCAACCATGCACATCGTTTGGAGTTCGACTCCCGGTCGATGCACCTCTTTAAATCGCTAAGCCGGTAGTATGGCCGGTAAAAAGGAAAGGCTGGACGTGAGGCTAGCAAGCCTGTCCCGTAAAAATAAAACCACTGCTGCCGAAACTTCAAAGCTCTAGCTTGAAGCCCTGTGTTCCACTCAGAACTTAGAGGAATAAAAAAATAGTGTAAGCGGATTACTTGAAGTCTAAGGCGTTAACATGGAACACTTTTGAGATAATCTTTGTTTCCCCTTATTATATTGTCTAAACGTTTTTAAAAATTGGAGATTTTAGAAGAAAATAGCAAACCTCATGAAAATTTATGCGATCGATATTAATAGGTTCATTCGGCCAATCAGGTTGACATGCTGAATTCAATAAAAGATCAATGAAGAACTGATGGAAAATTTGATGAAAAGCCTATAGTAAGAAAGAGAGGGAAGAAGAGAAGACACAAGACATATTTAATAGACGAGTTAGTTGTGAGATTGATTGCACATAAAATAGTATGTTTATGTTACTATTAACATTCAATATGAACGGTGAGTATCCTTTCCTCTCTATTCTATTTAGATTATTCAGTTAAGGAATTCAATAATTATTGTATGAAAAAAGGTATATATCGTCACATAATGAAGTATTGATAAAAATGACGACCTTTAAAAGGTTGAAATCGAGTATATGTGGTGAAAAGACTAAATAAAAGTGATGGATTAGAAAATTTTAAGCTCAAGATGTTCTAATATAATAACTGGAGGTAAAACTTACAGTTATGTTTGAAAAATGTGTATATAACTTACTTTTAAATTTATGCAATCCACTTCATCTTTACATTCATTGATTTTCGTCTCACCTAGTAATGATAACAGAATAAGCAGGAGAAAAATTCAAGATTACTTATATAAAAATAATTGCTGTTATCAAAGTATTCACATACTTAAAATAATCTCTATGATATAGTCAACACAAGTTTGAAAATAATAATAAAGAAAATTAACAGCTAGCTTGGTTTTGAGGACTTTCCGCTTTTGTTCTCTGTGTTTTTTATTATTAACAGCTTTCAGTATTTATCTGAGATGTGTACCATAATAATTTTTCCATCAAATTCCCAGTGGAACATAGGGCTTCAAGCTAGGGGCTTGAAGTTTCTGTAGCAATGTTAATTTTTTCCAGGATGGGGTTGCTATCCTCATGTCAAACCTTTCCTCTTTACCACCATTATTTCTGGCTTAGCGAGGTAAAGGGGTGCGTCGGCCGGGGATTAAACCTCGGACCACGTGCATGGTCGGCGAGCGTCCTAACCACTATACCACCGATGTGTACCATAATGTCATTTAAATAAAATCTTATCTCAAATCACTGGAAATACCCATTGAGTCGTGAAGAAAATAAAAGACATTTCAGCAAAGAAAATTATCTTTATCGACGAAATTATCTTCAGAAGCTGTGCACTCGTGTTTATATTTGTCGAAAATATATAGCAGTAGCAGTATTGAATAGCTGTCATCAGTAGGTCAATACAGAACCAAATTTCAAAGGATTTATTTCAGCTGAGTGCAGAAAGCAACTACGTGAGATTTCAAGCATAATAATGAATTAGGGCTGATCCATCCCAATAAAGGTGCTGGCATCGTCCTAATGAATCACCAAGACCACGTCGATAAAATGTTATCTATCATATCAGATGAAAACAAATTTTCAAAAGAAAGTGACTAGAAAGACGAAACTGAACTCAGTGAAGGAAAAATAACACAAACGCTGAAGAAGATAAAGAACAAATCGATTATTAACTCTGAATTATTTCACCAAATACGACCCTCGAGTTCTATAATTCCCCGGTTATACGGTCTTTTGAAAGGGCACAAAGAGGACGTACTACTACGTCCAGTCTTCGATATGACAAATTCACTATGAGATGCTACTGCTAAATGGCTCGCTGACATCCTTCTACCTGTCAGAAATAACCTCTGTTAGCATAGCTTTTCAGATTCATTTGAATTCGTCGATTTAGTGAGTGATGCTAATGTATCCAGGAAGAAAATATAATGTCTTTGGATGTTACGTCTCTCTTCACTAATGTTTCTCCCACTGAAACTATTTGCTTTATATGCGAATTCATCGAAGATAACAATCTGGACGTGGGTATTCCGACCCACTACTTGGAGGAACTACTATTGAGATGCAATTCCACTGCCCAGTTAAATTAAAAAACACGCTCTATAGACAAACAGATGGAGTGGAAATGGGGTCAACATTGGCTCTTTTACTTGGAGACTGCTTCTTGGAAAGTCTAGAGAATAGCATGTTAGGACCCACTATCGATAGTTTCCATATGTACCAAAGATACATGAATGATACTTTAATCATATGTGATGAGAATACGGACATCGAGATGATAACTAAGGAGTTCAGCAACTGTCATCATGCCATTCATTTCACGTCGGAATCAGAGATGAATTCGGAATTCCAATTTTTGAATGTTTTTTCTAAAAAGGAGATCTGACGGTTCTCTTCAAAGATCGATCAACAGGAAACCAAAATGGAACAGTCAACACACGAATTTTCATAGTTAGGTCCCTTTGAGAAAAAAAAGATAAATCAGATCCACTCCTTCTCCTCAAGAATTATTTTTATATACTTTTGATTACAGCTTGATTCCGCACTGTATTTTTGGTACAAGTATGGAATTTTCAGCATGGATATCGATAGCCCTAATTTTGCAGGCCGACCATAGATATCAGGTTTGCGTCAGCAGGGGATCGAACCTCGGACCATGTGCATCGTCGGCGGAAGTCCTAACCACTGTGCCACCGACGCAAAAGGATACGTGCCAGTGATACAATCGACGGCGAACTGGAGCGACTCAGACAAATCCTCATGGAAAGTGCATGTCCTCCAAGATTCATCCAGAATAAACATGGAAGTAAAACAAAGTTCCGAAAAAACCCAGGTGTTGAAGAAACTGATATTTATGAACGTTGAATTTAAAGGTGATACTAGAGTTAAGATCTTGAAGAACCTCTTATGCAGATCACTGAAAAAAGCTATCTTTTGGGCGAAGCCAGGGATCAGTTTTCCCGGCCGAAAAATGACCAGTGGATGTGTGAAGGATAAACTGCCGCTTTGGGCCACTTCAGCGTGTTTATGAATTCACCTGCTCCTATGAAGCTAGTTATATTGGCAGCACAAAGCGCACAAATCTCAAACGTACCTCTGAAAAATATCCGACATAGCGAAAGGAGAATGCAAGACATTTACTAGCTCATTTCTCGAGCACTCCGTGAACTCAAGCCACTCAGCTCCACCAAAGTGGTCTTTCAAGACTGCCTACAAGGTAAGACTAAGTGGTACAAAGGGCGTAAGGTTTCAGCATTTGTGTATGATGGAGGCGTTGTCAGTTCGGCAATGCGACCCCGAACTCTGTAAACAGAAAAAGTTTGCCGAATCTTTTATTCTACTATGGTCTTAACCTGTTCACTAGTCGTTCCCCGTAAAAAGAAAATTTAAATTTTACTTTTGGTTTGCTTTCTCTTTAATAATTAATTCACAATTATCACTCGAACACGTTCCTTTTGCACATTTTCTTACTCTCTTCACAACTGTTAAATGGACACTCAACTGCCTTTCTTCTCACTCAATAACAATTTTAACCTTATCAAATTTCCAATATTTTTTCCCTTTGAGTAGTTGAGTACTACGTAGTTTACAACTTTTATTTTTTTTACTTTTGAAGCCACTTCTGAGTAATCATATCAGTTATGTCACCCCACACCTATTACTCAGTAATGGACTAGTATACATTTGTAACAAACAAATACGACTGTACAGCTTTCGTTTGCTTCCAAATCTTATTTCGTAATGAAGTAAAAGAAAGTGGTAGGATGAAAATATCTCTCCACTACATTTTAAAAGAACATTGGCTGTCTGGATATGGTAGTTCTGTCACGCTGAAGCCATCGATACTACTGTTTTTTCTAAAAATGCAGACAAAAAATGTAACAGACCTGAATTCTTGAAAATTAGCATATATTACTGTTATGTACTCGTCGCTGAATTATTGTTATGGTCTGGTCGAGAAATTAATAGTCCTGACGCGAGAAGGCGGAAATCAGAAGACCACTAGGTTTGCGATGATACTTCTATTGTCCAAACACAAGGAGACGAAAATAAATGGTCTCACACCAAAGTGGTAAGTAAGTAAAGTAGTTGTAAAGTAAAGTAGTTCACACAAATTGTGAATGCGAATATATATAAATAATTCAGACAAGCGTGGGAAAATCATTAGACAGTCTTAACATGAATGGCTAATTATAATGGAGTGTCGATCCAATTATACATAGCGAATATAGCAGACATGCCAACAAACATATATGGATATATGTCACCAAGCAACGGACTGTCAACAAACACTCATATTATATATAATATAAGGAGAATGCACATTAATAAAGGAGACAAGTTCACACAAGTGAAGTGGTCACAGACTAACCGAGCAAACAGAAAGAGAGACCAACATGCACACACACACATAAATATATATATGTGGATACATATCAATTACATCATTCTTAAAATGAATTACTCTACTTAGTGATTTATCAACAGAACGAAAAAGTGCAATTGTTTCTTCTTAATGTCATCAAATAATATAGCAGGGAGCAGAATAGATGCACATTCTCATGTTATTTTAGACTTTTCATATGGCATATGAATGATTAATTTCATTTATGTTAACATGATTTCCTGAAATGTAGTGTAAGCCGATACAGTAATTTAAAAACCAATGGTGAGTTGTATCCTGTAAGAAGGATATGACTGGTGAGTTATGCTAAATATGTTTTCATAAAAATATTTATTTAAATGAGATAATCACAAATAGTAATCACAAACTCAAAAAGACTAAGAAAAACATAAACTTTTCGTAGAAATTGACCTGAGTACTACTCTATTCGATAAGCATAGTTGTGACCCAAAACATTTCATTAAGCACGTACATTCATGACAGTATTTTCTCTATTTCAGTCAGTTATCTATGCACATATACCAGTTAGAAAGGAAATTATTAGTACAGCTTGTTAGCCTCAGTGAACGACTTTCGATTAATGGTTCCCCATTTAAGCACTTGATCTGTCTGACTGATAGTCTCTGTATCGAACTTCGCACATAAATGCAGCAGTTCAAGTTGCCATACTTCATGTAACACACAAGGGTGGAGAAAAGAGATATTCTAAAGAACTATAATGAACATAAATGTGCCGGAGTAAGAGTAGCAACGTGGAAAAAATGAGTGTTTAATGGATATGGGAGATCATGAAGAGTGAATGCTTTACCTACTTAGACTTTAGTGGCATGCTGGATTGAGTCCTGGAACATATGGAGGCTTAAAACTTAGTAAATATGAAATCCTCTCAAGTAATTCAATTGTGCGACAGAGCTACTTACGTGGTACTGCGTCAATGTTTTCAAGTGGAATGACACTTCTCTGAGCAATTTCTGCAAAACGTGCACAGGCATCTATCAATTTAGAAACGGAAAAGAGGTATACATTTTTTGAACAATTCGGTTTTAAACAACAATAAAATTAAGCTGAAAATATACTCACACGAAGTGATGGCTATGCTAGTAATTACACTACTTACAAAACTGTATTGTTAATGACATTACACTACAACTACTGACATCCTGAGAGAACTATTTTTTAACTTGATCCTCCGATGTGTTTATTACTGAACGCAAATATGAAGATTAACTCAATAATCTGAAGTTTAAAAAGTTAAATTGACGCATCCAAAATGTAGTTGTGATACAGAAATCAACAATGAGTAAGTGGTTTCAATAATGAATATGGTGAAATCCTACATTTTTAAAGTGACTGAATATTTGTGAAGGCCAGAATGAAACGCCGTTACGTTAGTGCTCCTTCCCTAAAGATAAATGTACCAGGTAGCTTTTAGAAATACTTTCTTTACTCATTTGTGAATAACGTGGTGAAGATATTAGAATCAGTATGTTTTTCTTAAAATATACGTGGCTGCGACTCCAATGAAATTACGGACGAATTTAAAGACTGAATACAGTTGAAAAATTACAGCTCTACGCCTTATATAAACACCTTCATTCCCCCATAGCTAAGAATTTTTTTACAATCTAAGCCATTAGATATACATTACTATTGAACGTAAGTATTATATTCGTATTGGCTGTTTTTTGCACGCACATCTGATGAAGAATAAACAACTTTTCGGGAACTAAGGCTTAAAAATCCAGACGGAAAATAAACACACGATTGTTAAAATCTGGTTGGAGGAAAATAAATAGTGGTATCCCAGTGTAAGTTAGATTCAGAGTTGGTTTTTTAAACGGTGACGCTGTAAAATATTAATTCATTTCATCATCAATGGTTAGCAGATAAATTTAGCAGCCACTTTTATATCGCTGGCACAATACTTATAATAAGATATTCGAGTTTAAAAACAGTATTAGAACTTTTATTTTTATAATATCAATTGATAATATCAACATATTTAACGATTTCGAGTAAAATCTCCAGACAACAAGAGTTATAACGTCACCATTAATTTGTTAGCTTTTCCAGACAAGCTGGTTAACTACAGTACAACTTTACCCAGAGGCGTATTACTTCAAGCTACGATATTAGAATACTACACAGAAACGACTTAAAGGAAAACCGAAACCAATTCATTAAGTGATTGCTGCAATTACCCCAATATCCTTTATTTCTCAGAGCTGTAGTATTTTACCGTTTTAATTTTATTACATTCCTGAATAAAACAAATCATACCTAATCCGAGAGAACCCTGCTTACCGTACAGATTAGATGTAAAGAAAACATAAAATAACCACTTTAGCCGGTGATACTGAAGAAGCTAAAAACCTAACTTTCAGCAGCTGTTCATGCCATCTTTAAATTAGCAAGTATAGGTATTGAATTGTACAAGGGTAAGACGGCTAATGTTACCACACTTTAAAATATCATTTTTAACATTCGTAAATTAAATATTGAAAACATTCAAATAGCTGAGGCAAAAGTTTCTAGGGATGAAGACAAAGATTTATCGACGAATTAATACACAACTGAGCCCTAAGGCACTTAATAGAACTTTTTCTCTCTATCAACTGAAAATATTTTCTGGCTACTATGTCTCACATATACCTAAATCCTTTTAAAACTAAATGTACATTGACACAAACAGAATTACTTATCCATAAAGCATATTTTATTTATGTGTAGATGGTCATAATGTAAGAATGATATCCATCTTTGAGTACTGCGCAGTGACCTACGTTTATTCTGCCAGAAATGAGCTTGCAGTTACTATCCACTAGTTATCAAACGAAAGATGGAGAGGGATTTCACTAACTAGCAGTTTATATAGTGCTTCGAATGGATTTGTGTGATTTTCGGCAAGCCTTTCGCGACATGCTGCATACTTACTCAAATACATATATTAAGTGCTATGCAGCTGTCAAAACCATCAACACACTTAGTTTTCCTAGTAAATATATCCACATATTTTAAAAAGTGATGACATGCTTGGAAGGATGTTAATTTATCCCATTAGGACAACGTCTTTAATGCTTTGAATAAACATGGACATTATTAACGTAGGTCTTAGCACTACTTTATGGTCCAAATTGACGTTGCGACAGAAAAAGAAACGAGAAGAATTATGAATGAACCTTCCGTAGTGTTGCACAATGAAACAATAAAAGATAAAACAAAAAACAGGTGGCAATGAAGGTCAAAATAGAGTTAAAACACTTCATAAGAGTGAGTAAAGCTGAACCAAGTCCCCCGAATTTTATTTAAAGATTTTTACAAGATAGACATCTATAAACTTTAGTCTTAGAGCAGTTGGAGATTCGGCTGTAAGCTTATGAATGACGACGGAGTTGTTAATTTTGGTGGAAGTTATTAAGCAAGGTGACATCATCGAAAAGCTGATATAATTTAGACTAAATTCCTTCTGGACAATAAAAGCTTAAGGAACATCGGAAGTAACCTTCTACTGGTCTAATATATTTACAAAACCGGAAATTCACATTGGATAAGGTGGTATTGATGTGTCCGACACATTTTTAAAACAGTAACCCTTATAGGCAACTAGTTTTCCGACAATATACATATGCATTAATTTAGAAAAACTTGCCTGAAAGCCAAGGATGCCCAGCGAGACCAGGTATGCACTGTTGAAGACGCTGCAATTTGAATAGGTTGTTTAGATTTTTATACAATAAGTTTATTATGAAGACAGCGTAATATGAAAAAGACCCAAATATGCTACCGAAAAGTAAACATAATAATTACTAGTCTCCTAAATGAGGTTTGAAGTTATGCTAACTATGGTGTTTACTAATTCAAATACGAAGTAAATTCCCAAGCTTACAACAATTCTCTAACTAATTCTCACCTATGCGTCGAATAGGCGTTTTTATGTTAAATGAGTATTTTATCTACCTAAAATTGCCAGTATGCGCTGGATTAAGTCTATTTGTTCCGAAGTAATGCCGGTCAGTGGTGAATCTGGGCTAAGACAGCTGAAACAACACTGATTAGCGAACGCAGTATATACTGAGCTAACTCTGAAAATGCCTAGAATTAGCACAGGGTGCTGAATTGGTGAGTCGTACTGTAAATCAGCATTGAGTTCTAGTTTGTGCGCATAATCAAGCCATTTTAGAGCAATTTCAGAATTTATTCAGTATAGAAAATCAGATTTCGTTTAGAATTCGCCAGATTTAATTCAGCTTATTTTTAGCTTGGATTAATTGATTGGGCGCGACGAAAATTCTGTAAATTGACTATCGATCGCACCACGAATTTGCACAACGCATACAGCATTACATTTGATGAACATATGTAATATAATGTGAATCACAGTGACCAACACATTTCAGATGCAAAAGTAAGAGATTCAGAAGAACAAGCAAGATCCTATACCATTCAAAAAGTATTGTTACCTATAATTCTTAACGTATATAGTTCACCGATCTTTTTTGATATCTCTGTATACTTTGTACTACTGACATAGTCATGTATAGTATATATATATATATATATATGTACCCAGCTAGCATTTTCTTCGGGCGCATTGAAGAATTTTTAGGGCAAAAAACTTCGGGTAAATCTACTTACGTGGGACACTGTCCCGAAGTCTGCCCCAAGAAGTCTGCAATTTGCCCTAAGTCTGCCCCAAAAAGTCTGCAATGCGCCCTAAGTCTGCCCCAAAAAGTCTGCAATTCGCCCTAAGTCTGCCCCAAAAAGTCTGCAATTTGCCCAATGTTTGCCCCAAAAATTCTGCAATTTGCCTGAAGTCTGCCCCAAAAATTCTGCAATGCGCCCGAAATAAATGCTAGCTGGGTAGATGGTACATTCATAGTTGCGATTCTTTAAGAGGGTTAAGGTTTAAAATTCAAAATAGTTTTGAGATGTGCACAGCTTAGGTCACTTGTTACATGCATTTATCAATAAATTTACAAAGTTGTAAAGAAGTCACCTCCGACATAACTGGTTCGTATTGTAGGGACCGCCACAACCCGTCCCTTTTTGGAAACTGTATGAGAAGCCAAATTAGAGTCGGACTATGTGCGCAGATACATCTGTTCCCCATTAATCAAACCCCTGTAGTATGACATAACTATGAGTGAAGCAGCGCATAGCGATTAAAGGTTATGCTTACCGAAACGAGTATTTCAACACTTCAGGGTCATGGACTTCTTTGTTTCCATGGTGGCGGGTTCAATTTCTAACACCTGTTTGACATGACTAAATCTAATATTTCGTTTGCTAACCATGCGCTTGCGTGTATCAGATTGACTGTTTTTCACGTTTGTTGATTGTGAGGAATGTTATATTTAATAGGTTCTTGTGTGACTTAGTATAAAATAACAGTTTGGAGAGCTTAAATAAAACTTAAGATTTCTTGGATCTTGCTTCTCGTTACTTTTTGGTGGTTATGGATCTTTGAAATATTCCAGAACAGTTCATCCCTTGACAGCTGCAGCTCATTTGGACGGCACGGAATGGGGAACATTATTTTTGAGACAAGGTATTTTAGAAGATGAGGAAATATCGTCGTTTATGCACCATTGTAAGTCCTATTACTTACAACTCTCTTTCATCATGGACCAAAAGGCAAATCAAAACACCGAAACGATCGTCCGAAATGCGAAATATAATACAGGACGCAAATCGTAGAGCGAGGATGATTACTTAACTATCTAGAGATCCTGAACGACAGAACGTACGCATCACGAAGACGTGCAAAGTTGAGTGGATGATTGACCCTTAACCTTCAGATTCACCAGTCGACATAAATAATGGAGGTGAGCAGCTAGTGAGGAGTGATGATTGTCGTAGGCTAATGACTCTGTGGAATTATTTGCTGCTACAGTATTATTTTTACATGAATAGTGGGGTCGCCGAAACTAGAAACATTTGTTCCATCAGGGAATTATTTATCGATTATTTAGAAACAGTCTAGAGAGGAAGATACAAAGTGAGTAGACGAATGGGTGCAAACTTTAGTTTTCCGATGCGACTTTAAAACAAATAACAGAAGTTAATGAAAAGAGATTTTGTGAATTCATCAAATTTTGTTCAAACTCTATAGCTTGATACTATACATACAGAGAATGAAATAAGGATAAGGTGCGCTAAGGTTCCCTTTTAAAACTGGGACTAAGAATAGGTAATCAGCGAGTGAAAGGACTCCAGCACATCAAGAATTGTGAAATAAATGATATTGATAGTAATAGTAATGCTAATAAAAACAAAAATAATCATCAACACTAGCATTTTCAAACGAATTAAGATAACGGTGATGGTAAGGAAGGGTTTCAAACGAATAAGAAACTGTATTGAGGAAGTATGAATCACTAAACATAAAAATGGTTATCTCAGCCACGTCTCGTAAAACGTTAATGCCCAGCTATTGCTACGCTGGGACTCACGATGTTCCTCGAAGCTTCTCAGAAAGGCATAGTACGAATGGACGTAAAACCCAGAACCCAGGAAGGCGACTCGAGAAGTATTTATTCGAACACCAACATATAGCCAATATTACAACTAAGGTTTCTGACGGTTGTCCCCTGACTTCTTTCTGAACAGCGACCGATGAGATGATGACTGTCGTATTGATGCCTCCGCGAAAATTGGGGGAGTTGGTTTTGAGCAAACAACCAAGAATCGATCGTTCAATCTTCAATTAAATTGACAGGTTGTATTCGGCGTAAGATGACATAGCTGTACTCAACGATCCAATGTAATTGGACATTGAACGATCAATTCATGGTTGTTTGCTCAAACCCAACTCCTCCATATTTTCGCGGAAGTCATCAATTCAGCGATCATCGCCTCATCTTTTGCTGTTCGTTGGAAGAGAGAAAACTATCAGAGGTATTATTTTGATTTATTGTTATAACATTTATTCTTAGACCTTGTGTATAATAACCTTATTGCTGCTTACATATTGGTGTAAGGATAAAGCATTCTCGAGTCATCAATCTGTGTTCTGGTTTTTGGCGTCAGTTATAACAAAGTGTTTCTGAAAGTCTTCCATGGACAGCGCAAGGTCCAGCGTAGTAAGAGCTGGACACTGCCAGTTTCTGTGAGTTGGCTGACACATTGCGAACAGAGTTTCCATGCGCTTTGTGAGATGCCTCATATTCACACCCAACTCATTTTTAGTTAGTTAGTTGAAAGATAAAATACTGATTGCAGTGCCTCATTCACTCCTGGTCATCTTACATGGAGATATGTACAAACTTTTGATATTCTGTGTTAATTGAGCGCAATGCTCAACCCGATAACCTAGTGAATTGTCAGGTAAATCGCTCACGCACTCCTCCTCCTATTGTACTAACTACAAAATAATTGCAAGGGACTCCATTCTTCCAGGTGTCAACTGGTTAAATTGTCCCGGTGCCAGTACTTCGCTGAATCGCTTGTTACTGGTGATTACTACGGATGGAATTAACTCGTTCTGACGCCTGTCCATGGCGACAATCTATTGGGCCTTGTATTCCATAGCTATGTCATCACTGATTCCAACTATTTCGATGTTAGATTCTCCAGCAGCCATAATGAATTATACTCCGCTCTTTGCCACTCATCGCGAATTAAAGGAAACACACATTGTCAGCCAAGTCTCGTAAACCGTCAATGCCCAGCTCTTGCTACGCTGGGACTCACTCTGTTTCTTGAAGTTTCTCAGAAATGTTTAGTAATAACGGACGTAAAAACCAAAACACCGATTGGCCACTCGAGAATTCTTTATTGTAACACCAACATATGAAAAATATTTCTACTAAGGTCTGTGAACAAATATTACAATAATAAATCACAATATTACTTCTGACGGTTTGCTGCTGACTTCTTTCTGAACAGCGACCGATGAGATGATGACTGTCGTGTTGATGCCTCCGCGAAAATTGGGGAAGTTGGTTTTGAGCAAACAACCATGAATTGATCGTTCAATCTTCAACTACATTGACACTCCCCATCAAAAAAGGGATCCATCCCTTTTTTCCATCGTAACCAATACACGTTGACTTGGATGCCATTGCGAGAACCTGGGTCACACGGACAGAGCTGAAATGGAAAACAAACAGAAAAGCCAACACACCACAAGCATACTCACAGCACAATCTCATACATCAATGACGACCTGCGCCTTCCAGTTAAAGGCATCCTCTTGCAACACAATCGTCACTTGCTAGAATGACTCTTGCAGAATGCAACGTGACCATGGCAGCACCTCATGATACTCTACGCACATCCTCTTATCTACTCACTACCAATTACCACTGCAATCGCATGTCACTCATTCTGCCCCAGTTCTAGTAGCGGTGACGTATGCGAGCCTCAGTCGTTTACACTCTTTCTCCCCGGCGTGTGGGACCGCAGCTAACAATTATCTCCGTGTGCATTTCATTCTCAGCAATAGCCTAGCCTCCCCGGCGTATACGACCCATCTGATGTCTCTAACATCAATCAATTCATTCATGGATATAGAAGAGTGGACACAACTTCAGAAGTAATCACGACGAAAATTTTAACAAAATTATGCAATAAAAACAAGGTACGAAAACAACGAGTAAACACAATTAATCCAAATACACCAATTGATATGACACACCACACGTATATACAAACAGTACACACAAACTCGCAGATCGTGTCTCGATGGAATTCCTTTGAAGAATCGCAGGACTTACATCAGTACGCCTACAACCCTTCTCAGGTTGACGATTGTAAGTTGTGGAATGTCCGGACACAAACAAGATTGACCAACAATTACAATAATTGGAACTCACACAATTATTTAACACAAACATATGTACAATCAACACATCAAATATTGTGGATTCTGGCACGACAAACTACCCTTGAAGAACTGTAGGACTTACAGCAGTGCGCCTACATTCCTTCTCGGGTTGATGATCCAAGTGGAAATCGTCCGGACACAGAATTACTAACAGCTAGATGACAGATGATATCAATTCAGTATATACAATATGAACATATGTACAAAATCACACGCCAAGCACATTGGACTGCTCACTGATGCGCTACCCTTTGAAGAATTGTAGGACTTACAGCAGTACGCCTACAACCCTTCTCAGGTTGACGCCCTAGGTTGGAAAATCGTCGCAGAGTTCATTTGCTGACTTCCCTCTATCAGCTATATCCTCAAATCTGAACGGTAACACGATCATGTCATTGTATCGTAGAACATAGATGACGAACAAACACACGACGTATCTCATCAACCAAGTGTAGAAACAGAGTAATTTACACCAAAGATTATAGCATTCAAACAGTAACTTGAAACTTGAAATGCCTTTATTCGTGCAAGTCAATTTAACAATTACTCTCTCGTTTACACTTGGCTTATTCTCACTAAACTAAGCAATATCTTTCGTCTTTTCGAATGCACCAATACTATCAAGATCATTGCACAAGATACTTGAGTTGATGGGCGTCTTTTCCATTGTGGATGACAACACCAACGATGACTGAGTGACACAAGTTGATGAACTTAGAGGTGGATCAGAAGCTGTTGTTGCTCGGCTTGCAGAAATTTGTCTACCTGCAAGACCACCACCACTGCCGTCATTTACTATCAGCTCAGGTTTAGCACTAGCATCTGATGATAGGTGGGCTACATGCTGATCAATCACACTGACGGTCTGACAAGTATACATGCCTGCTGCAACTGCATTTATTTCTACTTCACCTTTGAGCTGTACAGAACCCTTATTTAACTTAGCGGTAGTAGGCATTCCCCTCATTTCATCATGATCAACCAAAGACAAATGTGAAGTATCATGATCATTATCACGAATATTCAATTTACCATCACCTATCTGGTCGACTTCATTAATTTCAAACTCTTTAATAACAGAAGTAGACAATTTTGGTTCCTCCTCACAAATGCTTAAAGGTTCTATATCTTCACTCTGACTAGTTATACCTTGTAAACTTGTGGGGTCAGAACTGTACTCTGAAGCAGTAAATCTATTCTGTGACACTCTATTCAACAACGGCTTACCAGTTGCAACTGGTATAATATAATACAGGACGCAAATCGTAGAGCGAGGATGATTACTTAACTATCTAGAGATCCTGAACGATAGAACGTACGCATCACGAAGACGTGCAAAGTTGAGTGGATGATTGACCCTTAACCTTCAGATTCACCAGTCGACATAAATAATGGAGGTGAGCAGCTAGTGAGGAGTGATGATTGTCGTAGGCTAATGACTCTGTGGAATTATTTGCTGCTACAGTATTATTTTTACATGAATAGTGGGGTCGCCGAAACTAGAAACATTTGTTCCATCAGGGAATTATTTATCGATTATTTAGAAACAGTCTAGAGAGGAAGATACAAAGTGAGTAGACGAATGGGTGCAAACTTTAGTTTTCCGATGCGACTTTAAAACAAATAACAGAAGTTAATGAAAAGAGATTTTGTGAATTCATCAAATTTTGTTCAAACTCTATAGCTTGATACTATACATACAGAGAATGAAATAAGGATAAGGTGCGCTAAGGTTCCCTTTTAAAACTGGGACTAAGAATAGGTAATCAGCGAGTGAAAGG